CCAAGTTTTTGGCAGATACTCTGTCCCCTCTAGTTAGGAACACTGTACATCACATTAAAAACTCACAACTGTTTGTAGAAAAGATAAAACATGAGCGGGTAGAGGAAGACGAGGAACTACGTTCATACGACGTGACAGCTCTGTTTACCTCAGTGCCAGTAGATAAAGCAGCCGATGTAATCTTACAAAGACTAAAGGAAGACAGCACTTTACCACAACGTTCCAAACTTTCACCTGAACAGTTAGTGGACTTGTTAAAGGTGTGTCTGAACTGTACTTACTTTGTGTATGATGGCATTTTCTACAAACAAATCCATGGAGCTGCCATGGGGTCACCTGTGTCCCCCATTGTGTGTAATCTTTATTTAGAACATTTAGAACAATGTGCCATTAAATCTGCCCCACACCCTCCTGTGTGGTGGTTTTTGTTGGCCTCTTCGTATCCGAAGATGTAAGGAAGTCAGTCCTTCATGTGGCTGCAGGCCTTCATGTGGCTGTGTAGCCCGATTCTTGACCCGCAGGTCCTGCGGCAGGCCGGACATGTGAAAGTCGCTGCTGTTGTTGGCTGCGGGACTGCAGCCTTTCGTCGCCTCCTCTTTTCCTCTGCTGCATCTTTCCGGGCCTTCTCCCATTTTGTGGTGGTACAGATACGTTGATGACACTTTTACCAAGCTTAAGAAGGCGTACGCACAAGAGTTCACAGAACAGCTAAATGACCTTGACCCTGACATAAAGTTCACATTTGAAGAGGAAGAGAATAGGTCACTAGCCTTTTTGGACACGCTAACAACAGTGAAAGAGGACGGGTCCCTGCAGGTTAACATATACCGCAAACCCACACATACTGACCAATATTTAAACTTCCATTCTAATCACCCCCTGGAACATAAACTCGGGGTTATCCGCACCCTGTTCCACAGGGCGGAAACAATTATTACTGACTCCCAAGACTTAGAAGAGGAGAAAGCTCACATTTCACAGGCACTAAGAAAGTGTGGGTACCCCACTTGGGCTCTAGATAAGGCCAATAGTCCAAAACCCACAGTCGGTAACCAGTACCAGAGTAAGAACAAGAGCCCGAATAGAGGCCAAGTTGCCCTGCCCTATAGAAAAGGCCTGAGTGAAGGACTCAGGAGGATCTTTGCTAAATACGGGATTAAGACCTGTTTTAGACCAACCAGAACCCTCCGGGACATACTGGTTTCAACAAAGGACAAAACACCAAAGGAAAGCAAATGTGGGGTGGTGTACCACATACAGTGTCAAGGACAGACTTCCAAGGGCCCATGTAAGGAAACCTTTATCGGAGAGACTGAAAGATCGCTCAAGGCTAGGTTCCTAGAACACAAACGACCTAGCTCAACTACCTCTGAGCTGAGGTTTCACAACATATACAACCTACTTGAAAAAGTAAATATAACAGGGAAATGTGCCATTTTCTAATCGTTTGAGCTGCTAATTGCAATGAAGAGCCAAGATCTCGATCGGTTGATTTTTGATTTGCATTTGTAGCCTTTTTTAAGTTTAATGTCCTGCTAATAATAGCATTTGACTTATGTATTGCTTGATCTGTCGCCATTACGAGCTCTTTATAACATGGGGGTTGTATAAAAATCTTGATGAACAAATCGAAATGGGACTGTAGACATGAAGTTTTACACATTCAAAGGGGGTTGCACTTGCGCTAATGGAGCGACTACTACGGGAAGGAACAGATCCTAGCGAAGCCGAGATTTGTGAAGCAAACCCAACCCATCTAAGACGGGCCGCCAAACATAAAAATGGAGGGAAATGACAGACAACAAGCCAACAAAAACAACATCACCAGACCAACAAGCTTGGAGAACACCACAGCAACTTCAAGCGCTAACGTTGTAAGAACCGTGGAACCTCAAACTACTGTTTATTTGTTTGCGTCAGCGGAAAGGCTGCCGAAGCAACCACTACATGCAAAACTGCGGCGAAAAAGTAACATGTGTTCGTCCCAAATCTGGACGCAAGTAGTGAGCTACAAATGTAATAGAACCTATGCATCTTGCTTGTTGCTGTCAACTTACCCGTTGAAGATTGAACCGATACATGTGCCTACTATAACTTGCCATACCCTGCCTAACACGACTACATTAGTGTTACTCTTCATGTGCTGTATAATGTTTATGCGTTACATTATCTATCATTGTCATTTCTGTGAATTCCTTAAAACATCTACTGTTAGTTTGTGTAACATCACATAGTGCTACAATCTGCGTAAAAAGTGGGCTTCATTGCGTGTTAACTGCTAAGTCGTCATGGTATTGGCAACTGTTTCATTGTGTCGTTCTTCTACAAACAGCCAGCAGAATTATGAAGATACTCGTTCTCAATACACAAGCTGCAAACTTGTAAAGTAATGGCAGTCCTACGAAAATTCTCTTTGTAATGCTTTATATCGACGAACAATGGTTGTGAAGTACATATACATGTTCTCGCCCATCGTGTGCCACCAGATCAGTGGTAATTGTCTACTCTACAAGTGAAAGAACCGCGTCCGTGGGACTTGATAAATTATTCATAAATCGGTAGCCGCTAGAAATTTACCTTATGCGACTAGACAAACCACCCATCGAAAAACAGATCTGTACGTTTATTTCTGCAATAACTGAAAAGCGAGGAGAAGTTGAATTTATATAACGATAGTTAGTTAATTTTGTATCTGTTAACCGTGTCCATTCATCTTGTTTTGTTGTGACCTGTACTTAGCCAAGTGTGGCAGAAATGTGCAATAAAGGTCTTCATTCATTCATTCATTCATTCATTCATTCATTCATTCATTCATTCATTCATTCATTCATTCATTCATTCATTCATTCAGTGACGAGTAAAACTGAAAACCCAGGTTTACTGTAAATGGCCGCGGGTGACCCCGGATTGAAGGCCATCCGGTTCGAATTACGTCTGATCAAACATGATTCGGTTTTAGGGCGGTTGGGGACATTGGGGCCTAAATTTAACAACCGTTTTACATCCACAACGTCTTTTAAAAATAGTTTTTAATGTTTAAATTGTTTTAAAACTGTTGATGTACACACAGACCAAGACCATGGTCACTCCACCTTGGCGCAACGAAAAACAAACCTGATGTCTGAATGATTTTGGAATACTAAATTATAAGGTAAGTTTTATTATAGCTGTGGCATAGACGATAGCAAGGATGTTGACTTGCCTCCATATTTCACATTCTGCTATTATTCTAGTATTTTAAAATCTAAGCTGGACAAATCTACTTTGTTTTGTAAATGTCAACTCCCCAATTTAGACTATAAGCTGCGCCGGAGAGTTTGACATGCTAGTGTTACCTGCAATGTATGTATGAACTCATCACTGCCACCGAAATCCTAGCACAAAAGCCATCACAGACAGCAGCTTAATGTATGTTCGGGTATATATTACCTTTATATTTAGTGCCAATGCATTAGACCCTGCAAATTAAAACAAACAGAACTTACCGGAGATACAGCCACAGTTTAAATGGAAACTCGGACGTGATGAAATACTCGGACGAGTGGCTGTACTTTGGTTGATTTTGTGCAGATAGAAAATGGTAAACTGCTCCCTCATAAGCTACACTTTACGATGTGTCGACGTGTTAGTTGATTCATATCTGTACTTTGTTGTTATTTCCGTGATGCAATTGGAGAATGCCGCGATATACGCAAGTCAGAAAGTATCAAGTAAAGGTAACAATATAGTATTGCCACGACTAAATTTTGCCAACTTTCTGAAATGGGTTACCTTAATTTATTTAAGATTCGTCGTCCAAATTGTGTCTATTTTTTCCACCGGACTCTTAACCTTGCATGAGCCTTTTTAGTGTGATCTGTTTTTGTTCCCTAGAAACAAGACAGTATTTCACGTCTTTGAAATTTTTGGCTGCGCATTAACTTTCTACTCGAAACTTAACCATGTCAAGATAGCTTTGCCATATTTTATTTCCCACTACCATTATAGAGTATAGCCTGGGAGTGCAGCTGTATACAAAATAAAAATACATCCTGTCTGAAAGCTAGAATACGCAGCAAAATAAAACAAACTTGCGGCTTTACAGGCACACCACTGAGCAGGGGATGCTTGTCAGACCATTGTTATGTTACCTTCGTCGAAGGAAACAGTGTTTTTGATCAGTGTCTTCTTCCTCCGTTTGAAAACACATGAAAAGCATCAATTTAGAACCAGAGCTTGCTTCTTCCCGTAGCAAATTTCTGTTTTCGTGTTGGCCTTTAATACTAAGGATAATTAACACCCCCTGAAAATACAGTTGAACATTCCCCAAATAGCCACGTTGACATGTACACTACACACGGTCGTCAGGTTTCAACACAAGACTCGTGAGGGTGGCTAAACATTATTTGGGAGTGCTGACGCCAGCGACACAGGTGACTTTTTTTTTACTTTTTAACCGCCCAGTAGTCCCAAGATATTTAATTCTTTACAGCTATATCTATAACAAGTTTTATTTTGTTATTTAAGAGAAGGGTAGTTTGTTTCGTACTATCTGAGTTGAAATCAGAGGAGTTCATTTTGTCAGCTTCTTTCTTTTCTTTTATATTTCAAACATTCAAAGCGATATTCATGTATCACGGGAACCATTGGCAGATTGTACATAAGACAAAATATAATATACACATACGTGTAACACGAAAGGTGACATTGGCGAGCAAATACAGCATATTCACCCCCTCTTCCTCGATGCAAATATGGACAGTTCCAAATCAGCCTTTTGCATATTTCTTCCCTATACCTTGGATATGATATGATAATGATATGCATAAGAGACAGGGAGCTTCTATATGGCGTCTGTAAATGATTCTTTTCTTCAAAGAAAAGTTTAAGAAATATGTATAGAGTAGTGTACCTCTTTTGAAAAGTATTTACATATTCGGTCCCCTTTTTGATTGCTATCGCATTATATATCCGGGATTTGGCTGGGCAGAGTGAAAAGTATGACAACAAATCTTACAAAAAAAATGAATAGAAAAACTTATGATGAGTGATTTGTGTATATTCTTGATATGAATTGTTTATTTTTCATCCACGCAAACATACCAGCTAGAACCCTGTTTGGAATTGTAACCTCAGAACAACTGATTTTTTCAACTTTTCAGGTGACGTGAATCCATAGGTATTGGATAATATAGACTTGGACAAGATAAGACACGATGGGCATGGTATGGGACAATTTTGTGCGTAAATTTTTGTTTATTCTGATCGGAGTAGTACTGGGCTATACTCTGTCCATGATTCAATACGCACACGACATTAAAAACGCCGGACAACCAGCTGCTACCTATAACCAGGATGTACAACGTCGCTTCTCAGTAGATGAGAATATCCGGTAGGTAATGTAAACAATTATGTTTACCTAAGAAAAACTTCTTCCTCTCCAAACAAATAAGGTCAATGACCTGAACCAGACGCCTGTTACCATGGTAACGAGTGTTTGGTTACATCATGTTGCATTGTTATAGCAGGGGGGGTTTAGACTAATGACATCATATATATGAAAATTTTTGAGTTAGAATTAAAATTTTGAGTAAGAGTTAACCATATGTGAAGGTTAATGATAATTATGAATTTGCTTTCCAAACATTACCTTTCTAGTTTCATTATAGATTGTTCACAACATGACGATAACATACTCTCCAAGCAGATCATACAATGGCAAGGCAGTATCCATTAGTGTCCATTAGCCAATGGATACAGTCTGGCTAATGGGTACTACCGGGCCAATTTGATACTGTCTTTTGCGGCCACCGAAAGATCTGCTTGCAGATTAGATAAACACTCAAAGTTTCTCTCCACTTGCTCAACAGACTTTTGTTAAATTCCATGCTATACACAAAATCAACTACATTGTGGAAGGTAATAATAACTTTCACTTTGTACAAATAGATATAGATATAGATATAGATATATCTAAGAATTGCTGGACCCTAGAACAAGTAGTATATGTGACACACCATGCCAGATTCAACACCGAATTATTCATAGCCTTGTATGTACTATGTAAATTCGTTTGTACCCACGTGTCTGTCTGTATGTTTAGTTATGCTTAGGTCACAATTCAAGAAAGGGGCCCGCTCGGCGCGTGTTCGGCGTGTTTTTTGGCACTACCGAACGGGACCTGGACGGAGACCGGCGGGCTTCCCGACGGCTGCCGGCCTATTTTTGGCCCCGTGCGGTCGCCGAATCGATTTTAACTCAGAGTTAAAATCACTTCGGGTCCCATTCGGCGAAATACGCCGAAGCAACGCCGTTACCTCACTGCCCGGAGCCCGTCGGGCGGCCGAACAGGCACCTGCCGAAGATTATGACGTCACATGTGCTGATAAGTGCATAAGGTGGTAAGAAAAATGGGCTTATATGGGACATATGTAAACTCCTTGTTCAGACTACGTCGCACAGTTCAACACGCGTGTGTTACACCGTGTACTTGTGTGTGTTACACCGTATACTTGTGTGTCAGAATGCCGATGGGCAGTGGAAAACAGCCGAGACGATAGCCCGGCATACATGTACTTCAGAACAGTGATATTGTGTTGCATGTGGGCTACCCTTAAGGGAAAATCCAAGGATCGGTAGCTGTTCCCGGTCGCCAGGAAACGCAGGGTAATGGCGAGTTTTAGGCCTACTGTCAAGGGCTGTCTGGCACTGGATAGAATTAAACAGAAGTGTTACATACAGACTGGACTGTAATATGTAAATTTGCTGTTATTATATAACATTATGGATACATTGAAATGTGTCAAGAAGTAGAGGGCATTCATCAAAAAAGCACTTGCTCAGGACTTTTCTCGATGGATGGGCCTACACGTTGTAGGGGGTCGTGAAACATCTATTTCAAGTCGCAATGATGGCAGGCAGGGCAGCGCTTATATATATATACCGGCTTATAAACACGACGGGATTCCGGCAGGGAGGCGCCAGGATCCTCCCTGGACCCCACCAGGGACCTGACAGCTACCCGGCCGAACTGTAAGAGCCGGTCGGAACCCTACCGCAAGCCGCACGGGTCAAGACGGGAGACTTATCGGGCACCGGACGGGTCCCTGACAGAAACCGGCCGCCAAGGGGACCAAAAGTTTATGAATATTAATTAGAAGCCGCCGGCCGGAGCACAACCAGGCCCCGACAGGGAGCCGTAAAGGAACATTTAATTGTGACCCTGACAGTCGGCGCACGCTCGGCGTCATGACGCCGGCCGGCGTCTACACCGAGGACATGCCGAACGGGCGCCGTTTCAAATGTGACCTAAGCATTAAGGGGGGAGTTGCCCTAACATAGAACGCTTTTTCACGTGCACGGCGCTCTCGCCAGTTGTCAGAGATTGGTCAGGTTTTAATAAATGAATTTTAAAAACATTAATGTTAACAACATACTTGGATAAGAAATCCATTAATACTATTCATAAGACCTTCACGCTCCACGTTACCAGCGACAAACTCGGTGAGACGTTTTTGTGAAAGCACCTTCGTGAATGCGGCTACGCTAGAAAACTTCGAACGCTTTTGCTCTCTTCAGGACCAGGCGTTACTGATAAAATTAAGTAAACAAAAATGAGAATACAATTTTAGAATATTTTACCATGTTATGTACAATGAAATTGCGACTGTGTGTACTTCTTGTCTCACGAGAGGAGGGTAGTATCTAACACAATCAGTCTTCTTCTTTCTGATAGCGACCACGATCATCATGTTGATCATTCTGTCGCTGTAGGTCGGAGGTCACTAGCAGCATTACTGAGATGTGAAAGCCCTTGACACGAAGATGTAAATATTTTTGGCCTCAACAGTTGTCTGTGATAGGGTGTTCCAGTCTTTGATTGTCCTCGGTAGATATGAGGCCTTACGGTACTCAGTCCTGGCTTCCAATTGGGCTAACTGCTGGTTGTGTGCCCGTCTCCTGTGTGGTGGGGCTGGCTGCAATATGGCCCTGAGGCCGTCCATGTTGACATTGTTATGCTGGATTTTATACAACATAGTAAGGCGTGCCGTTTTTCGTCTATCTTGAAGACTCAGCCACTGGAAATCCTCAATCATTTCTGTTGGACTTAAGGCGTGTCGGTAGACTTGAGGTGTGTCGGTAGACTTAAGGTGTGTCGGTAGACTTAAGGTGTGTCGGTAGACTTAAGGCGTGTCGGTAGACTTGAGGTGTGTCGGTAGACTTAAGGTGTGTCGGTAGACTTGAGGCGTGTCGGTAGACTTAAGGTGTGTCGGTAGACTTGAGGTGTGTCGGTAGACTTAAGGTGTGTCGGTAGACTTAAGGTGTGTCGGTAGACTTGAAGTGTGTCGGTAGACTTAAGGTGTGTCGGTAGACTTGAGGTGTGTCTGTAGACTTAAGGTGTGTCGGTAGACTTGAAGTGTGTCGGTAGACTTAAGGTGTGTCGGTAGACTTAAGGTGTGTCGGTAGACTTGAGGTGTGTCGGTAGACTTAAGGTGTGTCGGTCCGTGTTTCCACTGAAAACCTGACTTACGCAATCAATGCAGTCCCAGGGGAATCATGGGAAATGCAGACGACAGTGGTGTTGACATTGTTTTTCATGGGTTACTACAAAAGAAACACTCAGGGACCCACATATTTACTGTTTTGCAAAGCTTTATCCCTTGCGTGTGTGGCAGTTGTGTCAAATCTAGGTACAGGTCTTTTATTTCTGGGCACGAGCCGCCGCAATGCATTGATCCATTTTCCAGCACCATTGTTTTGATTGGTGAAAATTACCGATATTCTCTTTTTCCACTAAAAGCGAGAATAAATATATAGAACTATACCTTGCATGCAAATAACAGCTGTAAGCATGTTTATTTGAATTTTTAATTACCGAAGTTAGTGGCAACAAACACGTCGTACTTTTGCAAGATAAGATCAGTAACAGTCCGTCGGAAGTTAGGGCACGTCCGAAGTTAGGGCAACCCCCCGTTATAGACATTACAAAAGTCGCTGTACTTTTGTTTGAACTTTATTAAACGTTGATGTTACACTTTTCAACTGTTAAAGGGGGCAGGCCAGGGGTCGTATAAGCGCATATATTAGTAAAACTTACAAAATACTCAATATGTCGAGATTATCCATCTTCTTGTGCATTCCGATGCCTTCCGCCACAGTACGTTCTGGCGGCACTATATGGACTTAGTCTTCTCCAGATAGTTTTAGATTTGTTTTTAATTGTATGTACTGTGTTTGTTGATATGGGCCATGGGCCTGATGCAAATGAATGAATAAAAGATAATAAATATGCAGTACATGTAGACCTCAAGATTACAGCATCGTCTCTTATCACATGGCCAGTCCTAATCAATTCCGTAGTGGCTTGTTTTAAAACGCTATCACTGAGGGTGCCTTTCTTACATTTGGTGGTAAGTCATTCCATGTCAATGCGCCTGAATACGCTATTGATATACATATTGCTCTTTTGTTGTGTCAACACAGATCGTATGCTTTGATAACGTAGGCTGTCGTACCGGTCCCGACATTTTGTATGTACCAAACTAGAGTTCCTCGATCTCATACCTTCACCATACTTTATGACTGACAAATTGTAGATTATTCCCCCCTGATTTAATAATTGGATCCTCATTTTCATGAATTATATCATTTTATCATATTCTCAATTAAAAGACAGTCTTATATTAAGTACCATTTTAGCATTTCCATATAAATTATGCAAATGAGATCCTGATTTGAATACATTGTTTAATGATGTTCACCTTCACTGACATTTCAAATGCCTAAAGTATAAAATTTCTGGCAGTTATTATGACATAATTATTATTTTAAAAATGTTCTCATTAATTATGTAAATTAAGTCTTAATTTATATAATCATTCATATCTACCTGCGTTTCTCTCCTTCTCAATTACCAATGTCACAAGCTTCAATGGTCCTATCATGGAATGCAGCTGATTTATATAGAATTTCCTCATAAATTATGCAAATTACACTCATATTTGCATAATCTTCACATAATTATATCAAGCATCACACGTAAGCTATCTACATATCAAAAATCATGACGATCTGTCAACCGGTTCTTGAGTTATCCTCTTTTGAATATTTTCATACATATAGCCCTGCAGTTCCTGAGCAAGCCGCTAGGGGGCCTAACCTCACGTCACTTCTTTCCCAGCACAAGTGCTACCTACCATTCAAATTTCGTCACCCTAGCATGTGTAGATCATGAGATATCAAAACCGGAAGTTTAGCTGCAGTACCATAACAAGCCGCTAGGGGGTCTCATCAAGACCTACCGACCTACCAAGTTTTAAGACAATCCATCAATGCCTTCTCAAGTTATCGTGTTTACAGACACACACACAACACACACACACACACACACACACACACACACACACACACACACACATACACAAAACGTCTCTAGAAAAAACAACCTTCTTGGCGAAGGTAACAACAGTTATATATGATATAAAACCTACACTGCGTGAAACTCTAATAATAAATTTAAGCAGGTTATTCAAACATCTCTATGTCTAGACCTTCCCAGGAACCACAGAAGAAAAATGGGCCAAGGAAAATACTTCTGGACTGCGGAGCTAATGTCGCATCTACAGTACAGGTACTGACAAGTCACTTTTTATCAAAACTAGTTCAGACTTCGATTAGAAAGTCCTTAATTTTGCAGTTTAAAAAAAGATAAACATAAAAGCAAGATCACACATATTACAATTTAAAAAAAAGTCACTATAATAAGTGAAATTGTTTCTAAAGTAGCCAACTGGTTGGATTTGAACCCGGTAACTTTGGGTTGGAAGTTTTATACTTATAGCCTGTACTAGATCTATCCATACAGAATGATGTGTAATTCGTGTACCATGATATATTTTTAATCGAAATGTCTCAAATATGTACCAATATCCCATTCAAAATCCTAGACAAAACAGTTTAAAGACGGTAACTGGTAAAAAGATCAGATGCTTGGACTTAATATTTCACACAAGATATTTAATTCTGTAAAGCTATTCTTTGAAACATAATTTAATAACGAAGAAGCCTGAATGCCATCCTTTTTGGTTACCGGGGATCCTATACTTGCTCCAAAAATTGTTTTAAGGGAACGAGTACCTGTTTACACACAGTCTTGTAGCAGGGATTGTATCCCACTTATTGTTCCGTACAGTTATTTAGGGAGACCTACCCTGATGGAAGAGACTACATTATCCACTCGTTTGAGCTAGATTCGAGGCTAGCGCCCTACTTCGCGTCCTACTCCAACCACGTGCTGCACTGTCCAGTCGCCGTGGCCGGGAAAGATGGTCAGTTGTGTCACTTCTATGGCTTTTCTTAACGCTTAATTGTCTTCTCAAGGCTTATTCAATCCTTCACATTTTCATGCACATCGGTAGATATAGATTATGCAAACGAGTACTTGATTTTATACATACTAGACAATACTGTAATTTTATACTTGCTGTATTTGGAAGTTGCGTAAACATTGTCAAAGTAAGCAAATAAGATATGGCCGGCCTAAATAACCCAGGCATCGTAACGTAAGCAAGGTGAGACATTACTGGTTGTGCATAAGGGAACCATTAAGAGCCGATGTCTGTAAAAACCAAGCAAATCAGAAAAAAAGTGGCCAAACTCAAAAAATCAAATTCTCTCAAACTTTGTGTGGTGGTAGGGCCTTGACCCAAACTTACAAAAATGGGTAAGTTTTGGACGCCTGGTTATTTGTTGCCATGGCAACGGCCATTTTTGAAAATGGCGGATTTTTACCTTGTGGAGGCATAAGTCTTGCCCAAAATGGATCATCTTTTACCTTCCGTATCTCACATATCTCCTTGCGTGTAACATATTTTATGATCCATATTGTAACTAAGAAAATGATATGAAGTTTTGCTCGAAATGTTTTTGTGGTGAGCTGTAGCAGACGTTTAAAAATGGCGTGTTTTTGTAAAATTTCAAAATTGAGAAAAAGCCATTTTTAGGACGTTTTTAGTGAACCATGGCCGCTTAAAAGGCAAGTAGAATTAGTTCATTTTTGGCACAGTTATGGCTATAACCTTTGTCTACAACATATCAGAAAACATTTTTGGGGTCTCCATGGGGGGGAGTACAGTGACCCCTAGACTAAACCATTATTTCCATTGTGAAACGAATCCCAACCGCTGCATTATAAGTGAAAAAAGCATCCACAGCATGGCTATACAGTAAGAAAACGAAATCTAAAGCTTTTTTCAAGTGCTAAGGATACCTACCTCGCACTTCAAAAGTTGTTTCCTTCTGGGCTGACAACGGGTTATCATGGCAACAGTTATATGGGGAGGGGGGCGGTGTTTTGAGGCCCACGGCCACTTTCTTGTTGTATAATGTCTGAAAAGTTTAAACTAGAACCACCAAACTTGGTGACTTTTCCTCAAATAAATTTTGCAATAATTTGATATTCATACTTTCATGTTGCCATGGCAACGGGTTGCTGACAGGCATATTTTGCCAAATTCAGCAATTTCAGTATAAGAATAAAATTTCCATTTTTTTTGTTTTAAAATTTTTCCTCTTATCAAACATTCATGACATTACTGTAAGTTCATATAATTTTTATGATTACAAATTTATAATTTATGTTCATTAGATGACGTCATTGATCAAAGTCTAAGATGGTGGACTATAACTCGGATATAACAAGTTTTTCCTCTTAAAACACTAAAACACAAGATTTTTTTAATCATGGGGCAAGGAAAGGTACCTTGGACAAAGGAAGTAGATTCTTGCTGGATTGACAAAGAGTTGCCAAAGGTAACTCTTCTTTTTTAAATGGCACTTATCATTTCTATTTATATATATAATGTTGTTGTAGCATTCACATAGACCAACAGAATCCCTATGGCAGAACAATGCTGTCTGTTACCACTGTGGTAATAATGATGTTGCAAACATCCTGACAAAATGTGGAATTTCAATCAAAAAGGTAGATTTCTAGAACTGGGATAAGCAGAAAACATAGGCACAGGGTGATTGATGTGATTGATGATGAGGCTACATCATCAAATGTAAAGAAAGATTTGCTAGATATTTTTGATTTACTACTCTACCAACGGGTTCAGCATTGAAGGGTGCCAGGAGGACAATAATTAGTACCATACCAACCAGTGGCCTACACCCAGGGACCCGAAAGGATCAACCCTGAACCCCGCCAAGGATCCAAAAGCTGCCCGGCCAGAATGTAAGAGCCGGTCGGCACCCTACCGCACCCCGCATGGGTCAAGACGGGAGACTGAACGGGCACCGGACTGGTCCCTAACAGAAACCGTCAAAAGGCCAAAAAGTTTGTGAATTTTAAATAGAAGCCGCTTAGCGCCCCGACAGGGAGCCGTAAAGGAACATTTGATTGTGACCCTGACAGCCTGCGCACGCTCGGCTTCATGCGGCCGGCGTCTACACCGGTAACATGCCGAGCATGGGACTCCAGCTTAAGCTAAGGTCCCAATTGGGAAAAGGGGCCCTGGCGGGTAGTTCCCGGGCTGTTTTTTACCACTTTCGGGCGGGACCCCGACGTGGCCCCGCGGGGCACCCTGCGGCTACCGGGCTATTTTTGGGCCCGTCGGGGCCCCGATAAGAATTTAATTCTGAGTTAAATTCTACCCGGGCCCCGCTGACAAAAAGACGCCGTGACCTCATCGTGATAACACCGAGAGGTACCCCTCCGGTTGCCGGCATTCCACCGGGACACATCTCTTACGTCA